TCCCTAAAAGTGTTCTTCCCCCAATGGGTTTGGTCTAAATTCAATGGGTAGTCTCACCTAGAGTGACCCACTGAATCAATGGGATCGCCATAGATATTGACTTACTATTAAGCAATTGATTCCATGGGTCTGATCTAGTTGGACAGACAATTGGGCTTCAGCCTCTGAATCTTCCAAATGAAGATGGGAATCATGTAGTCCTCCAGATGTCATTGCATTGCAAAGCCCAGCATGCTTCGCTATTGGCTGTGCTGGCCACAGCTGTTGGGAGCTGCACTCCAACAATATCTGAAGGACCATGTGATGGTTACCCTTAAGTTAGTTGTTGTTAGCACTTTTGGAAAATTGCACCATTCCCACACTTGCTTTAGAAGAAGTGGCCCATATGGGTCCAAATCCTCTTTGTAAAGATGAGGGCCAAAAACTTTTTTTTTAATATTTAATTTAAAAAGAAGATACCAAAGCTTTACACAATGGCTGATTCTCACAATGATACAGCCTTGATTTTGGCCAACAGCCGCTGCGTGAAAGCTTGATTTATGGCGGTTGTGATAGTTCTGAGGAAAAGGGACCCAGTTGTTTGTTAGTAACAGCAGACAACAATTATCCCATTAAATGATTTTATAGCAAATAAATCTTATCTTTACTGCCAGTTGTTATGAGAGGTCAGCCCTTGTGTGTATATGTGTTTTCAAGTCACCTGTTGACTTATGGTGACCCACGAATTTCATAGGGTTTTCTTGGGAAAGGACAACTCAGAGATGGTTTTGCCAGTTCCTTCCTCGGAAATAGAGCGTAGAGCACCTGGGAATCATTGGCAGTCTACCATCCAAGTACTAACCAGGTCTGTCCCTGCTTAGATTCCAAGATTGGACAAGATCTGGTGTCTTTAGGGTATTTACTTAACCCGTATCTCCAAGGAATATAATTATCAAAGATTTTTACTAGACAGGCCTGCAATTGTCCACAAGGTCAGCCCCAGCTCAAGCTATTGTCCCACCCGAGACAACATGACGTTCCTTACTCTCTGCGATCCTGAGGCTGAGAGAGTGTGACTTGCCCAGTGTCACCCAGTGGTTTTTCATGGCTGAGCAAGGATTCAAATCCTGCTCTCTAGAGTCATAGCCCAACACCTAAACCACTACACCCAACTCCAAATGCCACGACTCACATTCAGCTTTATGGTTGAAGTGGAAAACATGAAAAGGGAAGAAAAGTGTGCAATCCCCAAATGCTGTTCATCCAAGAATCTGATTGCACAAAATGCAGCCAAAGACTTTTGTTAGACAGAAGAAGGGCTCTTCCAGAGAGGGTTAAAAAATTCTGCATTCTTGTGATACAGCTCATTGGGTTTTGCTGGAATTTCCAAATTTGCCATTGTCTCTGTCTTAATGTTTCTATTCTTTGAGGACGGCCGTTGTTTGCACCAGTTGCTTGGATCTGCAGTAGGGCTTTTCCAAACGTTTTCAAAATCTGGGTCCTGGTTGACTAAAGTGGTTCTGTAATTTGACAGGCAAGCTTTCTGCTCTCTAAATCTCTCTTTCTAAATTTGTCTTACAGTTGTAGTAGTATGGTGCAAGAGAAGGGTACATTTTTGTTGTTGTTGCTCCAATATCTCAGAATTAAAAAGAAATCTAGTCGAGGGTGGGGAATGTTGCAATTAATGCTGGGAATCACCAGAATATAGTCCAGGCAGGGCAACAGAAACTAAAAACACTATAAAACAGAAGCAACAAATACTGCAATTTTCCGAGAGGACTCCTGTCTCATCTGGAGGAACACCAAAATTTTCTGAAACATCATATTAATGTCACAGAAGCAGAGGACATTCGCTCAAGGTTTGCATTATACAAGAAGCGGGGCTTCCACCTACTGGCAGGAAAAGATATTTCCAGACCTACAGCAATCACTGGTTCATCCAAAGACCTCATTCCTACTATGATTTAAAGCGAATTGCAGATCAGGTTATATGATTGTCGTTCCCAATTGAAACTGGTTCCAATCCTATTGAGCTCGGTTGCAATTGTGATGAAGCGAGGCAAACGCAAAAAACTCCGCCGTTTCCTGACACTAGTTCTTTGGTGATTCTTTTGAAAAGAATCGATTCCGAAGCATGTTCAACAAG